GCATATATTTAGAAGATACTTTCATCTACGTAGAAGATACTTTCATCCCCGTGTGTGATATTATAACCGTACGTATAGTTACTCAGACAGTGATATTGTCTTGTGAGTGAGTGAGTTTATGCTTTACGTCACATCGGCAATATTTCAGCCATATCATGACGAGATATTGTCTTGTGCAGTTGATACAAACATTTACATTTCAAATAAAGGTGATTACTTAATTTGCTGTCAATATAATTAAAGGTTTGCGAGTATGTTGGCTGTTTATTTTCACCTGCCTTTTCCGTATTTTTGAAACATACTGAGTTCATTTCAACTTGTCAAATTATCAGCGTAAAAATAAATACAAAAACTGCAGAATTGTACCTTCAGTGCTTATACGATGATGACGAGTATTGGTTTGATGTAGTTTGCTCTTGTCATAAGAGGCGACTAACGGGATCCGGTGGTCAGGCTCGCTGGCTTGGTTGATACATGTCATCGTATCCCAAATGCGTAGATCAATGTTCATGATTTCAATCAGTCGATTATGTACAGACTGTCGTCATATAGCTGGAATATTGCCAAGTACGGCGTTAAACGACAAACAAACAAACAAACAGATATGGTCTGAGTGATTCTCACCCCATCGTATTCACGTTTTACCCTTAACAGAATTTCCGTAATGGAGGTAATCAGGTTCAACACATTCGAGTGATTTCTCCGACTTTAACCATGTTATGGTTGATCTATAATTTCGCATAAATTTTGAATAATGACCCATAGTTGTTTGTTTGTAATTTGGAGAAACATTTTGTGCTCTCCTTTCTTTATTACGGTTGTAATGTGGCGTGTGTCCTTCTCCAGTAACTTCGACACATTGAAATGAGTGAGTATGGTTTTACGCCGTATTTAGCAATATTCCAGCAATATCACGGCGGGGGACACCAGAACTGGGCTTCACACATTGTACCCATGTCGGGAATCGAACCCGGGTCTAGATGTGAGTGGTATCATCTACGTAGATAAAAGAATCATCTGCGTAGATTATATTATCATCTACGTAAATGTAAGTATTATCTACGTAAATGTTAGTATTATTTACGTAAATGTAAGTATTATCTACGTAAATGTAAGTATTATCTACGTAAATGTAAGTAATGTAAGTATTTTCTTCGTAAATGTAAGTATTATTTACGTAAATGTAAGTAATGTAAGTATTATCTACGTAAATGTAAGTATTATCTACGTAAATGTAAGTATTATTTACGTAAATGTAAGTATTATCTACGTACATGTACGTAATGTAAGTATTATCTACGTAAATGTAAGTATCTTCTACGTAGATGTAAGTATTTAATATCTACGTAAATGTAAGTATTATCTACGTAAATGTAAGTTATGTAAGTATTATCTACGTAAATGTAAGTATTTTCTACGTAAATGCAAGTAATGAAAGTATTATCTACGTAGATGTAAGTATTCTCTACATGGATAATACTTTCATCTATGTAGATATTTGTTTAGACTGGCACTGATACGCTTCCATAGTATTGCAATACTGTTGGTTTTCTCCGTCCATTATGTGTTATGTCTAAGGTTGCATTTTATGCGTTCTATTTCGGGTACTGCCCTAAGTTAGCCTGGATTAACGCTGGTTGACTCAGGTTGAATCTAGTCAACCCTTGCTGTCAGATATGTGGTGACATCAGCTGACTCAGGTCACTCAAATTGTAATGATCGAACGCACCTAGTGGAATGGTAGACCGATTCCATTCTCCGTCTCGTGCATGCTCCATACTGACTCACAGCCTACAGATGCGGTGTGGTGAGTTTGCATCGTAGTGACCATTGCATAAAACTCAGTCTGGTCTCTCGCAAATATACATTTGGGATTTGAACCATTGATCAGCGGATCCTGGAACGAAAACGGGACGCAACTTCACCGCAAGTTGCGGAGTCTTAACCCACTGTGCCACCTGTGTCTCTCTTTTGAGTGATGAGCACCTGCCAACATCATCTTCCAGTCCATCCTCGATTGTACCGGGTATTATATTTATATTATATTCTCTTCTGTTCAATGCTATGAACCAATTCACCCCCCTAGCTTCGTTTCCGAAGGACCGCCTTCGTGGTCTAGTGGTAGAACGTCGGCCCGGAGAGCTGAAGGTCCGCGGGCACCAAAACACTTTGAAAGATGGTACTTGTTGTCACACACAGACACACACACACAGACACACACACACACACACTCACACACTCACACACACACTCACACTCACTCACTCACTCACTCACTCACTCACTCACTCACTCACTCACTCGTTGGGGCGCATGGGGTAGTCTTGTGGTTAAAGCGTTAGCTCGTCACGCCGAAGACCCTAGTTCGATTCCCACATGTGTACTCCGCCTTGATATTGCTGTAATATTGCTTAAAGCGGCGTAAAACCATACTCATCGTGTTAGCACAACATGTCTCTCGCTCAAGAGAGTAATTTGATTGTACTCTAGGCCACATGGCCCAAAATACTGAATAAAGAGTCTTGAATCTTGTAATTTGATTGGTCGGCTTTTCCCGCGTCGGTCTTTTCTTGCTATAGTAGCGAATGGTTAGAACGTATTCATGAAAGTAGGATGGAGCTACACACTGGATAACGGGTAAATGAAACATTTAAAGAAAGACAATAGGCTCGTGCAATGGTTTGAGTGAGTGAGTTGGCTTTAACGCCGCTTTTAACAGTATTCCAGTTATATCACGGCGTGTCAGCTTAATGTGGGAGGAAAGCCCGAAGTGATGCAGGTCTCAGACGTTTACCACTTCGGTGAAACCCACGAGTACGGGTATGGTGCTGACAAACCTAGAAACATAATCGGGGCGAACCGGGTTTCGAACCCACATGATAGGTTTCTGGCGTGCAAAAGGGACGCAACTCTGCACAGCGAATTGCGGCGCCTTGGACGACTGGGCCACACGTGTCCCCTCGTGTAATGGGAAGACCTGACATCTTTCATTGAAACAAGTTGTAACAACACTTTTTTTACGAGTTTTTTCTGCTCGCTCAAACTAGAAAGCGATAAGCAAACAGGGTATGGATTACCGAGGCTTCAGTTTACACAAACAGTAAACTACGTTTATAACCAACACGCTTATAACGAACTGTCTTTTTTGGTCCCTCAATTTGCTGTATATATACTGTATACATGTTTATTACGAACTACGGTTATAACGAACTAGAATCAGAGTTCCCTTTGAAATCGTTGTAACCGTAGTTTACTGTACATGTTATGTGAAATATGGACTACAGAAGCAACCTGTTTTCATTCTAACACTTTATTGCGTCAAATGTATTTCTGTACATACACATATACAGTTATAACTTTATACAAAATATATCATAACAAACAGTCAAATAAATTATACAAACATATGTCTGATAGATAAAAAGACACAAAACGAGTTTTATATTCCAACAAGAGCACTTGCGTAGATGGTTTGTGTGTTTTTTAAATCCGCACACGTCATATATGTTTCTCCGCGTGTGTAAGTTTGAACATGTTGTTTGTTTGTTTGTTTGTTGTTTAACGCCGCACTCAGCAATATTACAGCTTCATGACGGCGGTCTGTACATAATCGAGTCTGGACCAGACAACCCAGTGATTGACATCATGAGGATCGATCGTCGCAAATTGGATACGATGACATGCATCAACCATTCAGCGAGCCTGACCACCCGATCCCGTTAGTCGCCTCTTACGACAAGCATAGTCGCCTTTACGACAAGCATGGGTTGCTGAAGACTTATTCTACCCCACGACTGTGCTGTTAGCTATAGCAGGTGGGTATGAGGTTGGTCGAAACAACGAGAGGCACAAGGTTATTCAGTATTCATAAAACAAACCACTATCACGTGACCTAGGTGGGGAGACAACGTCTGTTTGAATACTCCCAATCGGGGTGGCATTAAAAGGTATCAGCAGTAGACGGATGTAGAGAAACTCCCCATCACCTGACATACACGAACTCACGTGTATTTTCCTATGTTTTTGTCAGAAAATCAGTAATTTGGGTACAACAAAGTCATTCTCAACGGAAAACCAGCTCCTGATATTACGAAGTTGTAAATACGGGAAAATCAGCTCCTGATGTAACGAAGTTAGAGGAAAGTCAGCACCAGATATAAGATTATATAACGAAGTCGTAAATACCGAAAAGTCAACCCCCGATATAACGAAGTCGTAAATACCGAAAAGTCAGCCCCCGGTATAACGAAGTCGTAAATACCGAAAAGTCAGCCCCCGGTATAACGAAGTCGTAAATACCGAAAAGTCAGCCCCCGGTATAACGAAGTCGTAAATACCGGAAAGTCAGCCCCCGGTATAACGAAGTCGTAAATACCGGAAAGTCAGTTCTTGATATAGAGAAGTAATTTAAACCGGAAAGTCAGCTCCGGATTAACCGAAGACTACACAGGAAGGTCAACTCTGATTATGACACACTTCACAGTGAATAAATATTGTTTATGTAGATAACGAAATTAGGTTGCGACGAAAAACAATCGCAACAGTTTGTTACATCAGAAGATAACTAGATTACAGCGTACTCCTGTTGTCTCGAACTCAGCCAGCCAATATTGTTCTACTGACAAATAATCACATGTTATGCTACATACCTTATATATCATTCTTGCAAATAATTGATTGTGGACTTGACAAACCAGAGATCGATAACATGAGCAACTGTCAACGCCGTGTAGGTCAACGGTCAACGCCGTGTAGGTACATTGAAGCACAATCAGACAGGGTCATTTATTGGAAACTTCCGTTCACATTTAGCTTTTATGGGTTTACGAGTTTATTATGGGCCTATTCGGCCTCGAGTGAGGAAGTAAGATTGTTCAACGCCGCTTTTAACAGTGTTCCAGTGATATTGCGGCGTGTCAGCTTAATGTGGGAGGAAAGCCCGAAGTGATGCAGGTCTCAGACGTGTACCACTTCGGTGCAACCCACGAGCACGGGTATGGTGCTGACAAACCTAGAAACATAATCGGGGCGAACCGGGATTCGAACCCACAATCAAAGGTTTCTGGTGTGCCCAAGGGATGCAACTCTGCACAGCGAATTGCGGCGCCTTAGACGATTGGGCCACACGTGCACCCCATTCGGCTTCGAAAACCCAAGGCGTCACATACTGAAAGTAGCATTAACCGACACAGTCTCTTGTACCATGTGGAGATTGGGGGGCTCAATGGTGTTTGTCTTCATCATAACATAGCCCAGTGTCGATATAGTCATGAGCGGAGCATTAAAATTATCACCAGGCATTGTTCACCGTTCTTCGAGATCAAGCTTGTCTACTGAGGTCTAGTTGATGTTAATAAGGTTTGTCACGTGATGCACGTGCGAGGACAAGGTCAGCGCGTGCTGTGTCTCAACATGGCGCCTGAGGTCCACTTTCCGCTGAAACGCACGACCACATCTATCGCAGGCAAAGGGTTTGAATCCAGTGTGTTTGCGGCTGTGGGTGATGAGGTTTGAGGACTGGCTGAACGCTTTGCCACATTGAAGACACTTGTGAGGTTTCTCGCCTGCAATACAAACAAATAAGATTTATTAATTTATTAATATCACCGGGCGGCGTGATGGGGTGAGCGGGGCACGGGTGGCCCAGTCGTCCTAGGCGCCGCGATTCGCTGTGCAGAGTTGCGTCCCTTGGACACGCCAGAAACCTATGATTGTGGGTTCGAATCCCGGTTTGCCCCGATTATGGTTCTAGGTTTGTCAGCACCATACCCGTGCTCGTGGGTTTCACCGAACTGGTAAACGTCTGAGACCTCAATCACTTTCCTCCCACGTCAAGCTGACACGCCGCGATATAACTGGAATACTGTTAAAAGCGGCGTTAAACCAAACTCACTCACTACTAATATCACCCGCCATATCACGTCGAGGCAAGCGCTGATACAGCTTTGTGGAAAGGTGAGGTGCGTTGTGTGATTGGCAGTTCATGATCCAAGGTAGCCGTGTAATTAATTGTCGTTAAACCATATCACTCAATGAGATATTTACAGTATTATGATACGTTTTATTACCCTTTGTGTAAGAAATAATAGAGTTAATAAAAATCGTTTGTACATTAGTGCAAATATCACTAATCACACCAGAGTATTGATTACGTCACCCGAACGGCATCGTTGACGTCATTCGAATCGTATTGTGACGTGAGGCAAAAATGACGTCACACTAAAACAATGAAATAATGGGTAATAAAGACACGTGTAAACTCGCATGTTGGTCACACTGATTTTACGAAACTCGTGTAAGAATTCATGTATTACCCCCAATTCTGCTCGGGAAATCCAAACATTCTGTCACTCGTTTCGTAAAAGCATTATGACACACTACTTGTATAATAATTTTTATTTATCAACCAAAACTGGCTCCTATCCTATCGCTGCAATGAAATTTCATCACAATGCTTTGCAGACCATTGTGACGTCATTGTTACCATGATGTCACAATTAAATGACATCACTAATCTCTGCCACTGAAGCTGGTTAGTTGTCCTTGTTACGTTCAAAAGACTGGTCAATACTGTTTACAAACTGAATATGTTGAACGATATGAAGAACGATTTTCGCTAATAAACAGAATCTCACCCTCGTGTCTGTTGACATGAAGTATATCAACGCTCGTCGATAGAAAATACAAACTCCTCGGAAGCCTGGGGGTCTATATTTTTTTATCAACTTGTCTTGATATGTCTGATATAAAAAATACTCGGATGAGATTGTCTTTCACACTAAGTACAAGCGATCAAGAAAACAACTTCCGAATGGATGGATCCAGTTGGTTTCAGAAGGGGATCTGGATCCACGGATGTGTGGAAAAACTCGGCGTGATGAGCGAACACATTCGTGACCAAATCGTGTTATTCCGGGACAAGCCGCAGGTTACGGAAAGAGGCGAGTGGTGACGAACGGAGCGAACACTTTAACCTCCAGGCTAACCCTTGGGGAAAAATACAGGGTTTATTATGAGCGTGAGTTTTTGGAGAAAGGCCAGAGTTATGAAAGCCGTTGTCAATTTACGACTTGGTAAAAAACCCAAAACACGGGACTGTCCAGACACATCACATAACATGATCGGGACAATTCCTTGTAACAAACCCACGATCAGTAGATCCTACGCGGCTAAGGGGCGCAACTCTGCACACAGAATTTGTGGAGCGTAAGGATTACCCATTACCCCGTGGACAGAACACAGAAAATAAAATCAAGTCTCATTTTTGCATTTCACGTGTTTCGCACAATCGTATTTCATTCATTAACAATGATTTTTTCCCGAATGATCAAGAGCATGTATTACGTCATACATCAGTGCCAGAGACATTGAAATTCCCAAGAATCAGGGAAATGCATAAAATATGATCCACGTAAAAAATGTCATCGAGATAATGTCCCTATTTTCATGGGAAACAAACGACTCTCGTAACACCCTTCTCTCGTTAAAGGGGGGCACCCGTCTAAATGTCATGTCCTGTTCTAGTCATAAACGTGATTGATGCGGCGGGACGATATGTCAACAGCGAGGCTACATTAAATATTTATAATGTTAAAAGTCAGCCTCATAGCAATCAGCGTGCTTTACGCAGGGGCGTTACTCGGATCAAGCCAAAGACAAATCTAATGGCAGAATGTGGTTTTCTCTTTCCGATCTCAATACCAATCAGACCACCCGTTGATAAATGATGGCGGACGGCGCGCGGTCCGGCGGTGACGTTTATTCTGACATTTGAAATCTGAGCTCGTGAAATGTCAAGCTCCATTCAATAAATCCCACATGGAAATTCCTAATCAGTTTAATCCTGAAGGTGTCCAACAATCCTACTGTGGTCGTACAGATTGTCCAGCATCCTCCATTGAACCATGTTTGATATGGGGATGGGGGAGGACGTAGCAATTAGTTTATGAAGTAATGGGACAATTAGCGCACGCGAACCAAAGATGATAAAAGCATGTTCTGTGTATAATCTCACTTTAAAGCTTTTGAAAGAGAGAGATTTGTTTCTAGACGAAGCGGCACAAAGTACGAGAGCTGGTGAGCGAGTGTCGTTTCAAACAACGTTTAGATATAGTCCGGCAATATCACGGCAGGGGGTATACAAGATTGGAGTTTACACATTGCATCCACGTAGAGAATCGACCCGCGTCTTTAAATTGACGAGTAAACGCTTTATCCATTAGGCTACCATTCCGCTCTGCGTACAGCCGAGATGAGCAATGAGATTTACAAAACCAAACTGATCTACGTGAGAATGAGAGTAATGCAATATGATTTATTAAACAAAGGTTTTCTACGTGAAAATGAGTTATGCAACGTGATTTATAAAACCAGAGTTTTTTTTATGTGATTATAAGTTATTTTTTCGCTTAACTTTAATACGATAGTAAGAAAGACGTTTTTCTAGAGAAATAAATGTTTGTGTGCAGATAAAATGAGAAAAATCTCCCTCTGCTAGATTAACTTAAATTCAACAAAATACACAGGACAAGGTGTTTAAGACATGTCCGAGAGGAACTTGCTTTTTAGGTTGTCATCATCGGTTGTCAAACGAGTGGGCTACAAGTACTGAAGAATACCAGCTTCAGAAAACGCACAGCCCAGCTGTTTCCTCGTATATGGTATATGAGTTTGTAAACTCTGTTTTTCGTTTGCACATGGTTTTTTTACGAATTTATTACAGGGTTTATTATTGATCATATACACGTGTCTTTATACAAATTTGGGCGGTCGGGTAGCCTAGTGGTTAAAGCGTTCGCTCGTCACGCCGAAGACCCGGCTTCGATTCCCGACATGGGTACAGTGTGTGAAGCCCATTTCTGGTGTCACCCGCCGTGATATTGCTGGAATATTGCTAAAAGCGGCGTAAAACCATATTCACTCACTCTATTATACAAATAAATAATTATAAATACATTCATTCTGTTGAATATTAGATATTGTTTTTTCTATGTTTAGAGCTGACCTGAAACGAAGGTATTTATTAAATTCATTCTCAGAATATAAATCATAATAATTCTCGTTATATTCAAAGTAATAATACTTATACATTTAGACCTTATATCTATTTTTTTAGTAAGAGTTATATTTTCATCTGTATTTATACGTATATTAACAGCGTGAATTATACGTAATGATCTACATTTTAACTAACACCAAGAATACATCTATGTACAGTGGAACCTGTCGAAACCGTACTTATGTGGTACCAAAAGTTTAGTCCGGTTTAGACAGAGGTCCGTATCGGTGAGATCATAGCAGAAATAAATATAAGGTTGAACAAAATATAATTATTTATCAGAGTAAATTCGGAACCGTCAATATCTGATACAGACAGAAATCCAGATTACTCAGAGTCCGGTTTTGACAGATTCCAATGTACATTCATTCACTGATCTATAAGTAGAGCTTCCCCTGATTGCACCCATTCTACCGATTATGTAACAAAACATACATAGGCTGTTTAGTTTTACTCACACATATATTCATATAACGTTAAACACTTAAATATCAATCAATACTTTGAGAAGTTTAAGGACAGTCGCACTTAGCGTCCGGGGTCTAAGCTTAGCGTAGCTTATATTAAACAACGTGAATGCCACATGCAAACTGAAATAAAAAAATAATATATTACGAAAATATCTGTATAAGATTCGATTACATTATTTAATTGATACACATCGGTGATGCGCTTTTAACTCCGATAAAACTTAAGCGTTACACGTGTTCATTGTGCCCGTGGTCGCATCTGCTGCCAGCTGGGGGCGCACGTGCCCAGGGCATAACGGGTAGAGAAGGTGCGTGCGTGTGTGTGCGTATGTGCGCTTCGTACAGCTGTGGTAGGTGTTACACACGCATTGTCACAGAAGTCTTCAGTGTTAAAAATCGGACCTCTGACTCGCTTAATCTCTGTCACAATGCATTTAACCATGTATTACTTTTGTTTTGACATGTTTACCGCCAACACACGTTGAACGCGCGCGACATCCGCCCTGTCAATTAGGACAAAAGTTTTCTTCTTAACCTGTTTCCAAATAATTCGTATGTATCTCTTCTACAGCAAGAGCGTGGCACGTGATTCCCTGTACATGACGTAGCTGTCATTTGTAAAAAACAACAACAAAAAAACAAAAACAAAAATCAACTTTTTTTATTAGCCGAGCACCATATGGTTTTAAATGCTCTGTAAGCCTATCTAAGTGGTGCAGGCACAATGAGACCCGCTCGGGTAGCCGGACGTTCCCGAAACGCCGGACACAACCTAACATCTGGGGAAATAATTGCGTTATTGAATTGTGTTATTGTTGTATTGAAGATTCACCAAACATAATCCCATTAATCACGAACCAGAGATTCATGAATTACCGATTTGAATACAACGTTTCTTTTGTCTCGTTAAAAAATAAAACATTAAGTATTTTTGAATGTCGTTGACTAAATAAATATCGAATTCGATGTCTATTATATTTTTTATCAACGTTTCACTTATGTTAGTTTGAATATCCTCTCGCGTGTGTATTAAGTTAAGATTTTAAAATCTATTTAGGATTCAGTTTTGATATTACTATTTATACACGCCGTGATTCAACTGAAATTCTGACATAATGGCCCGAAATTACACACCTTGTTCCGAATAATACGCCAGGAAGAAATTAAAGTATACAAACAAATATACAGCTCATGGACTCAATTACATAGCAATACCTATCGGAATATGAAACATAAAAAAACCCGACTTTTTAAGAATTGCTTGGCCTTTTATAATGGCAGGTAACTTGTGCTTTAATACAGTTAAAGATTCTTTTATTACGGTATTGCTGGATTCGTAATCCTTTAAAGACGTCATCGATTTAAACTGTTTACTTTGTATTAATATTTCGATGTCGATTGACGTTGTGAGTCTTTGTTCTCCTGTACATCAAAATTCACGTTCCGAGAGTCAACGAATCGTTTAGGATACAAAGGCAATTTTGACACAAACAGGTGAACATTTGTACATTTCAAAACAAGCTTTAAGCCTATTCCAATGACACGTGATTCATACGCCACAGATGCACGCTCATCAAAATAAAATGTTTAATTTAATTTAATAAACTGCGACATCAAATGTTTATCAATAAATTGTGAAATTATATTAATGCATTATTATCTGTCTATGAAAGAAATAATCATTTGAGGTGTAACAAGAGTCTTTGCATGTGAGGGAAGTGATGCGGAATATAAAAATACTCATGTCGAACTAGACGTCAATATAGCGATACCAAACACGACCGCGTCCAAGCTGACGCCGTCAGCAATGAGTGAGTGAGTATGGTTTTACGCCGCTTTTAGCAATATTCCAGCAATATCACGGCGGGGGACACCAGAAATGGGCTTCACACATTGTACCCATGTCGGGAATCGAACCCGGGCCTAAACAACAATAGAATGAATTAGAACATGATTATAGTTACTTTTGACTTTGCGTGTATAAACTCAATCTTGTGTTAGTAAATGATAACAACACTTATTTTGTTTAACATTCAAAATTTGAGAACAAACACGTCGCGCCACGGAGCTTACAGTCGGGTAATGTTAAAGGGGGTCTACACTGAGGATCCCTTGAACTGCCTGGGTTAGAGTGTTGGGACGTTCAAAACTCATGTCTTTTCGTGTCATTAGGGACATTCCAAAATTAATTCATGACCTGCTTCATTTAAAGGGTCATATTTTGAAAACAAATAGACGAAGTGGGCCGATCCCGACTCCCGACTTCCAGTCGTCCTCGAGAGTCCAATCTAGAATTGGAGATATAAAGCGGTTTATTTATTTATTAAATGGCTGGTACACTACTTGTGGATCTGTGGATAAGGCAGTTCATGCTGAAGACTCGGCAAATTAGTACACTGTCGGGCAAAAGAAAGTGTACACTTGATAGTGTCTAAATAGAGAATCTCACACGAGTGCCTTTGATATCAAATTTATCAACACGAGTTGATAAAAGTGGAAAAAATTCCGAGGCTTGCCGAGGATTTTTGCCACTTTTATCAACGAGTTATTATCATTCTTCCAACTTTTTCAATTTCTAGACAGTAATTAGCGGTGTCTTCAGTGTAAAAAGTACTGCTAACAGCTTCAGTAGCAGAGCCATCAGTGATGTCATTTGATTGTGACGCCATGGTAACCAGTGACGTCACAATGGTCTGCAAACCATTGTGATGTAATTTCATTGCAGCGATATCTACAGTGTAGATATCTCTTGATCTAATCCAAGCGATATCTCCTGTGGGAGCCAGTTTTGGATAATAAAATGACAAAAAGGGTTAGTTTGTATTTTTTGTTTGTCAAGTCCAATCTTCAAGTGTGTACTTTCTTTGCCCGGCTGTTCACTAAGGCAGCAATGTTGGACCATTTTTTGGCGTAGAAAACATTCCAGGTTGTACAAATGTGTGACCCACCTGTCCTCATACACGTGACATTAATTATTGACCAGCAACACATCGACTAAATGATCAATGGATCCAAGGTCGATTTATATCGATCTGGCTGGATCTATCATCGATCTTGATTGTAAACTGAGAATATGATGATAGTGGGCGATGAATTAGGTCAGGAGTAGCAGTATGAAAAACATATTAATACCACGCTCTCCCCACCACCCCCTCCCGTGAGTGACCTTCAAACCCCACGAGTGACCTTCAAACATTGCTTCAACATATCACAACACGTCAGCTTTATTTGAATATATAAGATAGCTACACGATAAATCATAAAGAACAATGAAGAATGAAGCGTGGTCTAATTCACGATAAAACATTGTTCGATCATGACGTCATTTCAGGAGATTCGAATATGCGCTTGCAACTTGGTGACGTCATACATTTGACGACGTTATTTTGATAGAGGGCAGTGTCTAGCAAGTGGTTCACCATAGCGATACGCCGATATTAGGAGAAGAGGTACATATGATCGACGTGAGGATTGTGAGGATATGCGGAAAATACCAAACTTCCCCCACCTTTTCGTAAAATGGACTTGTCCTACATTTCCGATTTTGGTAAATATGTTTAAAATATGTTTAAAGTTTATACATATTATCAACATCCTTACAGAGGTTGTACATGATGTTTATATCTCATATAAGAAAAAACACTATAATATTTGTTGTTGGTCTTCTTCACTTTGGGGAAACCACAATACGTCGATGGTCATAATCGGCGCGAATTAGGACATAGACCTACCCCGTTTTCAATATAGAGGTTTCTAGCGTAGATTTGATACCTCTGGGGCACCAATCAGAATGCAGGATCCTAAAATGTAATGGTAAAATCTAGGATTCGAACCCACGACCGTCCGATCATCCTGGGACAACTAGGGGGCGCAACTCTGCACAGCGAATTTTAGTTCCTTACTTAGAACACCCATATCTTTATGTTATCGGGACAGAAATCTCCAACCTTCGATTTTAATAAAGTGGCGAATGATTTTTGCTGACGAATCAAATATGTCCATAGATACATTTTATAAAAAATATTTAAATTGGGGGTATTTTCGTATGTGTCAATATTTCACTGGTTTTCGATCCGGGAAGAGTTCGATATACTGTCAGTCAGTCGTTAACTAGAAAAACAACCCGGGTCGTTTATGTAGTGGTCGTATTTACTTAATTGGTTATAATTTGAATGAAGAATTAATGTAAATACTCAAATTGATTTATCACACCTATACAATACGTATTACCTTTCTACGACTAAACTGTCTGTCTGTCTGTCAATACGTATGAAGAGAACACATGTCGGTTTAACGTTCTAATATGAAACACCTCAAGAGACAATATATCAACTACGTCAACAGAGTGAGTGAGTGAGTGGGTGAAAAACGGGTCTTTATCTATTAAATGTTTTGCCGTGAGTGAATATTGCTTACTGTTAACAAACTTGCAGCTGTTCGTGGCGAGCCAGATATCAAGGCTGTAACACCCCCACCCCCACCCACACACGAACACACACGAACACACACACACGAACACACACGCACGAACACACACACACACACACACACACACACACACACACACACACACACACACACACACACACACACACTGTTTTTACAGAACCTCGGAGTCGTGTTTCTTCCTTACTTAACAAGGGTTGACTGATATGACAATTTCACAGAGAAATATTTAATAATATGCATAAATATTCAAAAATAATTATTGGGGACATGGCCGGACTCTAAGACAAGGCGGGACCGGTGGTCTGGGGGCGGGAAAACAGGCGTGGTATGATGATTATGGGCATTTTTTGCCATGAGTGACCCTGAGATCATATCCTTGAAGGACCTAGGTGGCCCAGCGGTCTAAAGTATCACCTTGACCTTGCAAGGATCAGTGAGTGAGTGAATGTTGATTTACGCCGCAGCAATATTCTACTACAACAACCCCAACTGTGAAAAGTCAAGTCTGCACCAGGCACACCGGGATCTGAAATCATGAGCAAGGAACGAGTCACCTGCTCCGCATATAACGAGCCTTCACAAACGTAACGAACCAGAGAACTTTTCTGAGCAGAAATCCTGTTGTGCATGAATCGGATAAGTTTGGGTTCGAATCCCGTAACCAAAATCCTTCTTTATTTCGATCTGAAAGATGTCTTAGTGTTATAACTGTGAGAATCCCCGTGAAGATCTGGGGTAGAACAAGTCTTCAGCAACCCATGCTTGACAAAAGCGGCGAATGACGGGATCGGGTGGTCAGGCTCACTGATTTGGTTGATGCATGTCATCGTATCCCAATTGCGTAGATACATGCTCATGATTTCAACCACTGGATTGTCTGGTCCAGACTTGATTATTTACAGACCGCTGTCATATACAGTTCACTACGGTTATAACGAACTCAAAGGGACTACTAATTTTAGTTCGTTATAACCGTAGTTCGTTATAAGTACATATACAGCATGACTACAGCAAGAAGTCGGGACCAAAAAGTAAGTTCGTTATATCCGTCAGTTCGTTATAAGCGTGTTCGTTATAACCGTAGTTTACTGTAGTTGGAAAATGGAGTGCGGCGTTAAACAACAAATAAACAAACAAACAAACAAACATAATCGACCTACCAGTGTGGATGTACGTGTGTTTCTTCATATCTGACTTCTGGTGGAACCGCTTCCCGCAGTAGGGGCAGGGGTAGGGCCGAGTGTCGCTGTGAATCAACAGGTGCGTGGACAACGTGGACGATCTCTTGAAGCACTTGCCGCACTCCTTGCACTCGAAGCTCTTCTCCTGAGTATGCACAGAGCGATGCTGGTCCAGACTCACGGAATGACCAAATGTCTTATTGCATACGTCACAGGCAAATGGCCGCGTGCCACTATGGCAACGTCGCACGTGCACCTCGAGCCCGTGAGGCGTGCTGAAGAGTTTGTTGCACTGCGCACACTCAAATGTTGACGCGATCTCGTGAGAGTCCTTCTTGTCCGACATGTGAAAACTGTCTCGGAGGTTCCCGCCGAGTCTCGAGAATAGAGTGGGATCTGGCCTTGTCGGACACTTGACATACTGGTAGGGGTAGAAGATATTGTGAGGGAAGAAAAGCAGACTGTCCAAGGGCACGTGCATATCCTTGGCGGGGCCCGCGAACAGGTAACCCGGATGTTGCCCAATCTGACTGTTTTCACATACGGGCACTGCAAAGAGATGTCATGCATCATTGAATATATCCCAGTGATTGCTTCAAGTACATGTGTCTCATGAAAAAAACCAAATTACTTCTTAATAATAACCTTTAAATTCGGTTAATAACTTCATTGTGTCGTGTGTGTGTACCGAGATGTTGGGAACGAGAAAAAATATTGTTATCAAGAATGAATATTTTCAATGCAGGGTCTCAAACTTTAAGATTGACATACTCTACCCGTCAACAAAACATATCTTTGTTTAAAGCGTATTTAGTTTAAGTTTGCTTTTCTTTCCAATTTATACACTCACGGAAAGCTTTCGAATGGGAATCTTTCACGGTCGAGAGTTGTGTCCCCTGTTCTTGCGTCAGCCATGGCCTGAAGGCTGCAAAATTCCCACCAATGGTTGATATTTTTGATGACGTCTCTTTGTCCTGATCGGAACGGTCACCTGATATATGTTCTGTTCCGTGGTCGCCTGTATTCACAGGGGAGGCGCAGTTGTTGTCGTTCACATCTGGGAAATGAAAAGCTGTGTTAAAAATGGTTGACTGGAATTATTCCGCTGTACCTACATGTCTTCCTACATGCCTACCTACATGCCTACCTACATGCCTTCGATGGGACTGAACCGAGTGATAAAACCAATACAAGAAGGTGCTTGGTCCGTGCTGACATGGTGACGTCATAGTGGTTAATGTGACGTCACACACTCGTTACGTCACAATAGACTTTCACTTTGAAATGTCACATGATATTTTATTTTCGAATTACCACTCCTCATGAGGATTTCAAGTTACAACAAGGCCCTAGCAACCTATACGTGCCGTTTTAGGTCACTAAATGGGTTGGGTTGTCGGGCTCGGTTAATGCGTGTACCCCACGGTGTGAGACGTTGCTCATGCTATCAATCTCTGGTTTACTTAATCCAGACTCAACTTTTTCAAGCCGCCGTCATATCACCGGAAAATTGCTGAGATCGGTGTTAACGAAGTAAACAAACAATCAAATTGCCACACGATAATTATTTTACAAGAACGTTTTTTCAGTGAGAATGTCGCAAATTCGTTATATCTCTGAGTATAGAATTCGTTTCGGATCTATCAGCACCGTATAGCGCTTTATTGACGCGGATTTTATCATAACACTTGACAAATTACAAACACTATTGCAATGAAAACTTGTTCGTGTCATAATTAGAACTGGAAACCAGTGCATCACGGCCCGCTATAGACACGCGAAACCAACCAGGAGATGTCTGCCGGATTGTGCCAGCGGAATGGGCTTGCACACGAGCGCTCAGCTCGCAGAGGTACAAAGAATTAATTTCAGTAAAAATATTTGTTTGTGACTGCCATTAGACTCGCAACTCCAAGGCAGAACAGGGTCATTTGTGACGTCACAAGCTAATGACGTCACGTGTCGAGTTTATCATACGAGCATGTGCGTCATACGGATTTTACGAAACAAGTGTCAGAATTCTTGTATATCCCGAGCGAGAATGTTGGTAATACATGGATTCTTTAAAATCAGTATGACACACATACGAGGATAATAATTTCTTTATTACCCAGTGTTTCTTAATCATTTTGAGCTCCTCCTGTAGATAAATGCACGGATAAAGACCGCCGTCTTACAAACCCACAATTGTCGAATGACGTCAACTTCAGTATGACATCGTTTCTAATGTGACGTCATTCCGATCGACCGTCACAATAAGTTTACGCCGTGATATAACTGGAATACTGTTAAAAGCGGCGTTAAACCCAACTCACTCACTCACTCACAATAAGTTTCTAATGCGGTCAACAATGGCCTCCGGATGACATAAACGATACACTAAAGTCCGCGAGAAAGAATATTCGCACCCGTTTTTTATTTGTGTTATTATATCACACTATGGGTAGTAATAAAGACTGTGACGTCAAGATTTCCATTGACTGGGATAAAAATACAGTATGTATATAATAATAAGTTTCTACTCAGACAGCTAGATAATGTAAAAGTAATAAAAAAACACAATTGTTTATTGGGGCCACAAACACACAACACTTTTATCTCGCACGGGACCTGTAACATTCATTATTTTAGGACGAAACTAAAAATTTAAATAAAAAATTCAGAACAAATGAGGAATGGATTGACGCATTACCCGTCTGTAGTTGATTATCCGTGCTTTTTAAATTTGATTAATTTTTTTTAAAGAAATTGCAAATATTACAAATTATTAAATATATATATAACAATGACTTCATTGAAAGAGGGTGGTTAGCATATATATCTTTTTTAATTTGATTTATTTTTTTAAAGAAATTGCAAATATTACAAATTATTAAATATATATATATATGTATATAACAATGACTTCATTGAAGGAGGGTGGTTAGTATATATATATATATATATACTAGTATATGTATCCCTTTCTTACATTGCGGACGTTTTAATCATGTTTATCTTGCCTTCTTCATTCCATTTCTCACCAAAAAGAATGTTAATATAAAACATGTAAATAGAACGGAAAACCTAAATGCAAAATATTTTTTAAAATGCAGATAAACATATTCATTGCCGTAGGTTTGGAGAAGTGAAGCCGAACTGACCTTTCTGAAAGTTGTTCTATCTCATATGACCAAAGAAAAACAGCTAACTTCACATTCGTCATGAGAAAACTGTTCCCAAGCCTTTAAATGTATATGAAAACATCGTATTTTACAGTCGTACAGTATCAGTAAGCATTTACTCAAATCTCTTCCAATCCAAAATAAATATCTTCATGTTTTGAAGAAAGGTAAAAAAAAGAATCATAAGCGCAATCAGTGGCGTTTAATTGTTTTCTTTCCTTCTCCCATTGATTTTCCACAATTACTATTTGCGATATATTATTTTGGATTCGGAAAAATCAGTGTAAATAATTCTTCTGTGACCAATTAATCTCCACTGCGTGTAGAAGGGCGTCTGTACGCGTCGCCGGGTTATAACTCGAGTGTGCACCTTAGGCGCTGATCAAAGAAACATCTAGATAATATAAACATTCTTTATTTTCCGATCTCCAATGCAAGCACCTTGTGTCATTGAAGTACTCGGATTTTAATGCCAAGTATCAGTTCTCCATATTCTTTATGGATATTATAAATATTTGATATGAGTAATACGAACACATGCAACGCACTGTAAATATATAGGATTTTGTCATGTAGTTAAACACTTACGTTTACATAAATGAAAATCAAATCATTCACAGACCGCGCTGTTTTTCCCTCATATCAGCATATAGGCCTAGAAATATTTCCATTTTTTTAATATTTTTTTATTAAATATGGTGTTTATGAACATGGAACCGCAACACTGTGTACGTAGATGTATCAAAAATACATGTATTAGCATTCGGTTTCGATCACAAACCAGTGCCGTTCAAATAGAAGTACAAATTATCCCAACATTGTGAAGTTTAAATTTTTTCAATTTTTTTTAATCCATTTTTTAAATTGTGAAGTTAACACTTATTTTTTTGTGATTTTTAATGTGACTCTTCCGTGGCTCTGCATCCTCAGAAGACATTTAACTTGAACATCCCGGTTATGTTTTGTGATATTATCCAGGGTAGGATATCCTAACCAGTGCTGTTCTGTGAAGCAAGTCTCATTAATAAAAAATATTTTCCTAAAGGCTTGAAATAATTATATTAAGAAAACATCGTCAAATATGAAATTGTCGCTTAGCTGATATTTCTTTTTGTTGTTTTTTCTCTGAAATACTGTTATAAAGTTTATCAATCCTTAGTTTCCCCAAATAACTGAAATTTTGTGACACACCAGAAAACATTTAGGATACGCGTAGTGTCCTTTGTTGGAAAAAAAATGTTATAGAATTTTAAACAGTCAATCCTCTCAGCGAGAACAAGACCTTTATCGATACACAACGCCTAAAACTGCATAGAAAAAAAATCAAGTGATAAATAATTTTCATAAAGTTATAACACGTCTTTTTAATTACAAAATCGTACGGACATTGTATATATGAAAATATGAAATGGCTAGGATATCCCTTTCCTTACCTTTTCTCCGTGGGATGACGAGCTGGAAGGCGCTAGGTGTGCAGTCGGAGGAATCTTCCAGGGAGGTCGTCATCTTCTTTATCAAAAAGGATCTTGGCATCACCAAAATCTGATTACCTTAAATCTAAACACTTAACTTCCTTTACCGAAGGCACAAACTTTACCAGATTAAATCAAGTCGCGTGCACTCTGTCCATATACTGATGTAAACCCCGCCCCCTAGCTAATCAGATAGTTCCGCCGCACGTGCGCGTAGTAATCTGTACACCAGCTGCAACCAATCACAGCTAAGCTTTCAAGTAGCGGTCGCGTGGCTGACAACCACACTCTAAGATTAAATACCAGCGCAAATATTTAGTTCATAGAACCGTGGCTCGATCTTTACCGTTAGAATTAATACCGTGTTTGTGGTACACCGCGTCTCAATAGACGGTGCCTAGTCACACATGGTTTGCGGTTAAAAGCAAAGTACCCGCACAAGGCAGCAGAGCTCTGCGAGCAAGCACTACGCGTCGACTCCACAGCTGATGTCTCGGTTAAAGTGACATAAATTAGGAATATTTTTGAAAATTTAAATTTAAATTTTAAAATATTATTTAAACCAAAAAAAATAAATCTCCCTCAGCTGTGAAATGAGGCTTGGAATTTGAAAAGGGAAGAAAGTTTTCGAATGATTTATTGCCTATGAAACACCCATAAACTGACTATCTTCTTGAAAAGCCTTTATACTAGTTGTATTGTCAAAGAACGACGTGCAGAATTTTTTCAAGTGGTAATTGGTTTTGTTACACTTTTTAACCCAATAATAACGGAATAGTGAGGTATTAACGAATATTTAAATATCCACCATCTATAGGCGAAGAACGCGGAGGCGGAGTACAGGCGGGATTAACTGGTGTTGCATGTCTCAAGGCAATATCTTGAATTGTCCCGTATCGCAACTTTTGATTGGCTACACACGAAATGCACGTGCTTCATTAATTAACCAGTGGACTAGGTTGTTAAAGGTCAGCTTAACTCTTTATCAAGGTCACGTCCGACTGGAGACAAAAGTTTCTGTGAATATTGACAGGGTGTTGTGAAAAAAATAAAAATTTGTCCTATTTAACAATTTCCTAAATTATCATTTTATAAATCTCAGAAAGCCGTATTTTATGAATAGTGAATGGTATTATTTAAAGAATGAAAATTGTATGAGTGAGTGAGCGAGTTAAAGTTTTAATTTACGTCGTCAGTATGTCGACCAGGTTGAGACGAGAGCCCGTGATGCATTTTCTTGCTTAGAAAAAACTGTCATGCGATAGCAGAATCAGTCATAATATCCCATATTTTACTTTAAAAAAACAAGTCGCAAACAGATTCTGGCAAATACACATATATTCAAATACAAATACTACTCAAAACATATATTCAAAAGGATCTGAAAAGAAATATATATCATTTAGATAGATAGATTCTCTCGTGTAGCGGGCTTGGGTGCGTTCCTGTCATGTTTGCTGGGCAACTTTAATGTAATGTGTAATGTAACGACACCACCACACTCACGACGAGACAGGATTCTTGTGTGATTCTGAGACTATGTAAACGAGGATGATGTGATGTCCCGGATAGCTTCATCTTCTTAGTGAGCGAATGAGTGAGTGAGTGAGTTTAGTTTAACACTGCTTATCATCATCATCATCGTCGTCATCATCATCATCATCATCGTCGTCGTCATCATCATCATCATCATCGTCGTCGTCGTCGTCGTCGTCGTCATCATCATCATCATCATCTTTATTATTATTATTATCATCATCACCATCACCATTATTATTATTATTATTATTATTATTATTGTATAAGACAGGAATAAGTTTTATATCCTATTTAATATCATTGAGTAAAGTCATCATCGTCGGTTTTGGTCTTTGTCACATGACGAATGTCGTCGCTGTAGCCGAGATGAGGACGGGGATGTTGACACGCACAGACTTGCACAAACCTTTACAAAATATTTAATATTTTCAAATAAAAAAACCCCATCGCTGCTGCTATAACGATATAGTCAGTTTATTTTGCTATCCGAGATTCTTCATATCTGTTCACGTATTCCACCTAAAATCAGATTTCCTTTGTTCGGCAATTTGTATCCAGTTGGTCAGACTATAGCGCACTACCACAAAATTAAAATGTGATCTCTGACAAGATTCTTCCAATTCTATTATTGGGGCTAACCGCTCGGTCAAACCCCGGGGGGAATCCGTGTTAGAATTGTTCCCCAGTAACCTATTGTGGTCGCAGGAGGGGACGTAATGACAGAGTGAGTGAGTGAGTGAGTATGGTTTTACGCCGCTTTTAGCAATATTCCATCCAGCAATATCACGGCGGGGACACCAGAAATGGGCTTCATACATTGTACCCATTTCGGGAGTCGAAACTTGGTCCTCGGAATGAATAACGAACGCTTTAACCACTAGGCTACCTCACCGGCCCCGTAATGGCCTGGTTTATTAAAGTGTCACATGCTGAACACGTACCGATGAAAGCGTATGTTTAAAACCAGCCAAATCTTGGCTCACGGGACACTAACAGAGCATATGCATATCAAAATAATTTTAAAACACTAAAATCAAATAAACTTCGATTGATAAACTACGATGCATTGATAAAATCGGTATATACATATGTATGAATAGAGTTTAACAAAGTTTCTGGCGTGTGTAAAACTATATCTCTTACAAAAGCAATCTTCATTACAACAGAGGGATTTTTAACACTAAAAAAAGAGCGGCCAATTGAGAGTGGGAGGCACAGGATGTATCACGCCATATCTAAGATCAGCATAAAAGGACATTCTAGGAGACTGTGTGCACCAATGGATCGACTTGGTTGATTGTGTATTATCGTACCTCGATGACGTGGGATGTTGCTTATAATATCAACCACTGGATTGCCTCGTCCAAACTCGTATTTATTTCCGACTTCATATATCCATATATCATATACCCCGACATTTTCCCGAGGCAAGGGAGTTAACTGATTATGAAAGTCCAGTTTCCACCCTTGCCGAACTAGGCTGGTATTATGGAGTTACATTTTGGCTGGGCTAACGAGTCTGTGCATAGTCCAATCAAAATCGCGCAACGAAATCGAAATTCGGTTTGTAAACTGTCGTGCAGATTTCGATCAATTGCAGGATTTGCAAAGCCAACTCGTTGTCAGCAGATATTTTCCAAATCTTTTCATGTTTTTAATGAAGGTGCTCACGTGATTTGATGCATTTCGCGATGTCAGACCCGTTTTATCATGATGTAGATCTTGATTATCGATCACATCGTCTTGACTTGGCGCAATTTTGTTTGGAGCAAATGCAAGTGATACGAGAGGTGGAATCTGATTGGTCTATAGGAGAGGCTTAGAAGGGACATAACTGGTAATAGCCACTGGTGGCGGTTTGATCGAGCCAGTAATTCCAGACTAGATCGGCAAGGGTGGAAACTGGACTTGTAAAGTCAGTTAACTCTCTTGCCACGGGAAGATGATAACCCGACGAAGTGGGACGTTGTTTTTAATAGTCTCGTCAAAACTGTATTTAGTGGCCGCCTTTAGATTTAGCTGGAATACTAATGTCTGTGACGTTAAGCAAAAACAAACAAACAAACAAACAAACAAACAAACCATAAGCTGTGAAACGTGTTTGACTTTGATGGAGTTAACGCTCTCTGAGCTGTTTGCTGCTCGGAAGGTCAACTGAACCGGCGTTGGAAACTCGCGGGACTGGGGATTGTAACGGCTCCGCTGAGAGACATAATTGATTGATATAAACGTCATATCGGAAAATGTCTGATTTCCTTTTTTGAAAGTATAAATAGGCAGATATATTGTGTATTATTGGAGTTCACGATGTGAGTGAGTTCGACGTCACGCCAAGGGTCATAATCACGACGGATTAGTTTGGTCGAACCTTGCACTTTATGTCGAGCAATATTCCAGCAGCTCGAGCCTTTGGTGTCAACATTTCACAAGTTGTGAGTTATAATCGAGGTTCCTCTTTCTACGAAGATTCCAAGAGCGTCATACGACTCTTGCTCAGAAGTTGTTTGATAAAGGTTACAACATTCAAGGCCTCAGTAAAGCTTTCAAAACGTTTATTTGTAGACATGTGGAGGACATTTCCAAATTTGACGCATCAGTCACAAAATATGATGTTGATGCCATTCCCTCTTTTAACTTGTACCATATGTTCCCGTGTTTTTTCAAGTGAACAATTGACTTGCCTTTGCATGTGTTGGTGACGGGTGCCAGGTTTCTCTTTCTACGAAGATTCCAAGAGCGTCACACGACTCTTGCTCCAACGTTGTTTGGTCAGAGTTACAAAATTTAAGGCCTTAGTAAAGCTTTACTGTGTCTTTTTCTCAGGTGAACGGTTGACTTGCCTTTGCACGTATTTGTGACGAGTGCCACCGATGGGGCAGAATACGCTCACCTTTTCGCGAACATTTGGTATCGTCACTATTTATGAGTGATTCATAAACACATGCTCGTGATATCGTCGGAATCGTTCTGAGGTCTCTGCTGCCTGCAGAAACTTCTATGATTATGGTTGGTTGGTTTGTTGTTTAACGCCGCACTCAGCAATATCCCAGCAACATGACGGCGGTCTGTAAATAATCGACTCTGGACCAGACAATCCAGTGATTGATATCATGAGCATCGATCCACGCAGTTTCTATGATTATGGAAAGGGTTTGTTGTTTTTATTTACTCGTGTGAAATCAGTTAAATGTTGTCGTTTTTATTTTCGCTTTCGTTCTTGGGCGATAACTGAAGAATAATGCGACATAATTATCGACATTTATTACAATTTGATACGATTTGTCTAAAAGATCACGTGGTTCCAATGTACAGACAAACAGTCAGACTGATCATTTAGTAATTTCCACCTATGTGTGTACAAAACATTATGAAACAAATATGACGCCGTAAAATATACAATGACATGAAATCATAAATATTACAGGCACCCCATTCCAAAACGGATTTTACGAGAGGGTAAGTCCTTACAAATTATACAGAGGGAATTCGTATTCACAATACAACATAACTGGTATAAGATAGAGTATAAACACTACATCACACAAATGTGTGGAGCCTGACTGATTGCGCGTCATCCTCGCCAGACGGGTGGATCGT